AGTGTGCAGAAGGTGGAATATTCCGAGTTGCCGAACTATCTGCGTACCTAACTTTGATCGATATGCTCTAGCGGACGCTGCGCCGAGTTTTCGGACCCCCAGGAATCGAGGATTACAGGTGGCGCAGGCGAGCACGCTGTCAATTGCGATTTTTTGCTGATGACCGGTTGGACCAGAGCGGTTACCGACTGGATCCCTCGGGACGTCAAACGAACACCTGGACGACCGCCGGCCCGATGGTCAGACTTCTTCACGAAAGCTCTGAACGAAAGGAATGATGGACTTCGTGTCCCTCGAGCAAGGAGGATCCACTGGACCACCCTAGCACGCGACAGGGACGAATGGAGACGTTGCTGGCGCCCGCTCGAGCAATTCCGTATAATTCATAATTCGACGGTCAGCGAGGTACAAGGTGATACAGGTGAATGGAAAGGCTATACGCACGTTTTTAATTTACCAGATTAGTCCCCCGTCAACCGCCGGGACCTTCCTTTCCTGCGCAAGCTTTCTATCCTCCGCTATTCCTCCTGTGACACCAACACCTCCTGGAAGTGACGCGTATGCAACACAATGGTGTTTCATACAGTAGAAGGGACACAATCATGATATGACGGTAGATTTTTCGCTTCCCTTCCTCATCCTCCCTTCCTCTCTCCACTGCCCTCCAGCTGCCACTGCAGCACCATGTGGAATGAACGGAAGTGTGCTAAGCAGGTGTTTATATAGCCCTAAGAGTGTTATCACAACTATCCTGCTACAAAACATTGATATCTCAAATCCTGTAAGCTACCCGATTTGTTAACACTTACCTATTCATACATGAGCGGACACGCACCACACCACTACACAGCCACACACAGCACAACATTACAGATACACAAACCGGTACACACAAAGTTAGCGCTTTATAATATAGTAGGATATTCCAGGATGAGATACCTTTGATAACCTTCTTCACTTCACATCAGTTCAAGTCTGAGCCCCATGCGGACATCTTACAATTTCTATTGGAAATCGAGCCTTCTTTCACGTTATCACTTGGAAAGCATAATTTCTGTTCATAAGTCATTTGACAGCAGTCGTTTATGAACAGCTGCAATTTAATGTGAATAGGCTCGTAATTTATTTATTTATGCGTTAGTGAACGCGCTAGACCATGACATACTAAGTTGGGGCAAGGATGGCCGAGTAAGATAATATTAGGTTGTCGGAAAAGTCTTTGGCCATTTGTCGAAATTATTTCTGATTCTTTTTTCTTCTTTAAGCACAGTGAGCAATTTACAAATATATGCCCCACCATAATCGTCAACATATTGCCTTTCAGCAGGTAACTCGTGGATGCCGTTTGTCTGGAAATACTGAGCTTTCAAGCAAAAACCTTGGGAAGTCCTCTTCGAGTAGGTTCGGATCATTAAGCTCTCCCTCTTTTGGTTGATTTGACAGCAACGGAAGCAGATGGTGGTCTGTTAGTGCCGGGTCTGCTGAACGCAACAGGTGGGACAGAACGTCCCATAACGGGCTTGGAGACTTTTGCTGAACCTTCTTCCAAATTCGTTGACGAGCGTTGCCTGGATAAAGTAAACTTTTCCATGTTTTAAGCATAGTGCCGGCGAACCCATCCATTTGCCCATATTATGGTTCAACAATAGCAGTGCAGTTCTTTGGTAGGAGCTGTCAGTGAACGAATCGCTTGGAGCTTCACCAATTCTGAAAGTTACCTTAAAGGTTGCAGTGCTGGAATCCTTGGTTCTACGCGTCTGGGCCACTGGCGCTTCCGACTGCAGTTTACGTGAGGAACCACTTCTGATTACCACCAACAAAGTAGTCGGGTCAAACAAGAGACAGACGGTAAATCAAAATGTTCATGCAAAATCTGAAGGCCTCTGACGGCGGTTGTCACCATATCACGAAATCTCCTTTTGCCATAATTTCTCTTCTTTTGAGAGATATTGAGGAATGGCTATTGTGTTCTGATAACTTTGAAAAAGCTGCGTCAGTTCCCGTGCATTGCACCGGAGACTGTTTCCAAACAGCTCCAGAAGACACTCGTCATTCAGTGTAACAAGCCAACCGAATTTGTGCATTTTTCTCGAGTTTCTGGACTTCGGCAACCAAATGTTTACCATGTCGTGAAAGACACTCTGGGGTTCCATCGCAAGACGTGAGCTCTTGCCGCATCGCTTCCATTGGGTTTTAGAAACAAGAGCAGCCAAACATGCTTTCAGTCAAAGACGATTTTCTCAGCCATAATCGCTGTAAGAAACCACGACAGAAATGCTCTGAAGAGATCATTGACTAGGGTTTACATATGTTTTACAATAAATGTTCAAAAATTATCCCTGAAGATTTTACAACATGCAGATCGAAATGGCCAAAGACTTTTCCGACAACCTAATAGCTACATCCCTCATACCATAAGCAGGAAATAGAGCTAATAGAAGGCAGACCTAGATCAATGCCACTATTATCAGTTATAGAATCAAGAACAGCTGTGTAAACCCTTTCAAGCAATACCCTCAAACTTGCTCCTCATAATGCAACCATACCACTGAATATGAAGCCCACACTGATACTTTTTCGCCTACAATTAATCTGGAATAAAACACAACAATAAACTGCAATTCAAAGTTACCAGAAGAAGACTGCTCTGTTTCCGCGGTTGTTTCTCTCTCTTCATTTGGATCATGAATGACTGCTGACTGCTGCGCAGCAGGAACCTCTGAGCCAGTATTCATCGGGCCGAGACGTGACGACTGATCTTCGCTAGCCGAGCTCTCACCATTTGATTCAGCAGCTTTTGATACACTAAGACTGCATTTGAAGCGACCAAATTTCGTCATTTAAAATATAACGATGAGTAGACAAAGCATACCCGCCATCATGGTTCAATGTCGCATCAGACATGTCCGGCAGGGTAACATCTTCGAGACTGCCTTCACGACGGACTGACTCCGTTGGTGGAAGAGGCTCAGGATTAACAACTGGCTGAAAGACGCTTAATCAGTAACACAGCATGGTCAAATTGTAGGAAGGCAACATTTTGGGAATTTCAAGCACATGAAGATTCGGTAATTAATGAATAGCCACAGGATGCCGAAAACATTTCGAATAATTCGCTACAAACGCTTCTCTGATGACTGAATGAATTACCACTTCTACCAGCGGCACGTCTTCGTTACTAGTTCCTTTTTCACCTCCACGATGTTTCGACGCTGGAGTACAAGTACATCGGCTGCAAACCATCACAATGATTAACGAAGAGCTATTGTTATCTTCACTACTTGATTGGACTTCATTGTGGACAGATGTACCTCGAAACTGTGCTCAAAACCAAAATATCCATATCTCCATCAACGACTGGCACGTAGATTTCTTCGCGAGCTGAGTCCTCCTGCGGTACATCACTCTCTTGGACCTGAAACACAAAAGTCCTCGCTAGTCGCGATACGCGCCTGATCATGGACCAAAAACTTTGGCGGGGCCAACTTATTTATAATATCTTATGCACTAGACGTAGATGTCGTCGGGTGGAGCATCATTATGCAGAGATCCACACAGCTAACACTCCCCCTACGACTAGGCCATAAGAGGCGACTAGAAGAGGGGTGTCTGAGCGATTTTCATTACTCGAAGTTACTATCATCCTCCTCGGCTCAGTCTGCACACCATGCCACCACCTGACGACACCAGCGCCCAGAATCATATTCATCGATAAACTCTCACAAACCTTCTTAGCAGGTCTGGGTGGTGTACATAGGTCTATGACGACGGGTCTCGCATGATTTGTAGTATTTGGACGTGCTCGGCGTTCCTACTTCAGATGCCCTATACTGGATGCAACTTATCGGAAAGAATGGAAAAAAATCAAAAAAAAAATTAAGATAGAGAAAAGCACGCAGATAAAATCACCTAGCACTTGTATTCGGAATGGGATTGTTTGGTGCCATGATAACAAGCACACTTCCCGTTCGAGCTCTTCCTCGAAATGGAACATGGACCTTCAGAGGCCTGAAATATCCCATTGCTAGAACCACATATTTGAAGCCAGTGACTAGAAATATTTTACAGTGACCTCACTACTCGGGAAAAGTATCCAATAGAGACGATAATACTTCTTCAACAAATTTAACAGTGCCTTCAAGTGATGGTCTGGGATCTGAAAGGTCTGAAAGTCCTCGTAGCCGCAAAACAAATTTGAAATCATGGATCACAAATTTTGGTGGGAATTGAGTTACTTATAACGCCTCATTTACAGAACCTAATTACTAGCTCATCGACAATATCACAAACCTTTCTGGCAGGTTTGGGTGATGCATTCGCACGTGTTTGGTGTTCTACTTCAGGCGCCCTATGCTGATTAAAATTGATCGAGGAGATGAAGGAAATCATAAAAGTAAAATAAACGAAAGCTCGCATGATAGAATCACCTTGAACTTGTATTCAGAGTAGGACCATTAAGTGCCTGACAATAAGGACAACCATTGTTAATTATTGAGTTTGTCAACCTCTCCCCCGAATCGGGATTTAGACCTTGATGCGCCTAAAATATCACACTGCTAGTTCACGTGTTTGAAGTCAGCGAGTAGAAATATTTTGCAATGACCTCGCTAGTCCTGGTACATGCTGACCACTTATAGTAAAAGTTCTCCACCGAATTAAGCATTGCCTCGGATACATGTTCTTCTACCGAAAAGGCCTGAAATTCCTCGTAGTCGGGGAATAAGTCTGAGATGAACAGAGGTGTGGTTCGCTAGGGCAGACAGCGACTTGTTCGCGTTGCGCAGCACGAATCATTTCCCGCCGCGGAAATCTCAGGTCCACACATTATCAGCGGACACCTGAGGCCTTAATAACGGGAAATGTTTCGCGCTGTGAAACGCGGAAAAGCAGCTTCCTGTCCTAGCAAACCACACCATGAGATCACGGATCAGAAACTTTGTGAGACCTGCGTTAATTATATCTTATTCACAGAACCTAGTTACTGGCTCATCAATAATATTTCAAACCTTTTTGGCAGGTCTGGGTGGTGTGCACAGGTCTATGACGACGGGTTCGGTACGATTTGTTGCATTCGCACGTGTTTGGCGTTCTACTTCAGGTGCCGCACACTGGCTGAAATTAATCGAGGGGATGGAAAAAAAGCAGAAAAAAAAGATAGACAAAAGCTCGCATGATAAAAATCACCTCGAACTTGTATTTAGAGTAGGACCATTAAGTGCCTGACAATCAGGACAACCATTGTTTATTATTGAGGTATTCAGAGTAGGACCATTAAGTGCTTGACAGTCAGGACAACCATTGTTTATTATTGAGGTATTCAGAGTAGGACCATTAAGTGCCTGACAATCAGGACAACCATTATTTATTATTGAGTTTGTCAACCTCTTCCTCGAATCGGGATTTAGACCTTCAGGCGCCTAAAATATCACATTGCTAGACCACATGTTTGAAGATAGTGATTAGAAATATTTTGTAGTGACCTCGCTACTCGCGAAATATGTCCACCATTCATCATAAAAGTTCTTCAACACACTACGCAATGCATTCATCTGGTGTTCTGGGATCTGAAAGGTCTAAATGTCCGTGCCTTCGTGGTCGCCAGACATGTCTGAGAACATGGTTCAGGAACTTTGATGGAATTTCTGTTATTTATAATACCTCATGTACAGAACCATAATTATAGGCTCACCGATAATATCACAAACCTTTTTAGCAGGTGTGGGTGGTGTGCATACTGTTGCATTCGCACGTGTCTGGTGTTCTACTTCAGGCGCCCTGTACTGGCTGGTATTAATCGAAGGGATGTAGGAAATCAAAAAAAAAATTAAGAGAGACAAAGAATCGTGATAAAAATCACCTAAAACTTGTATTCAAAGTGTGATCAATAGGTGCCTGACGATGAGCACGCTCCCCATTTGTCAACGTCTCCCTCAAATTGGAACCTGGACCTTCAGATGCCTAAAATATCCCATTGCTAGACCACATGCTTAATTCACTGACAACAAACATTTTGCAAGTAAGGTGAACAGTCATTCACTATTAGGTCCCCAACAAATACAACGTTGCAGCTTCAATTCGGTTCGCATGTTCCTCTGCCCTCCTGACGTTCAACAAAACCTCGCAGAAGCATCAAAGCAAAACTGGCAAGTTACAAAGACGCGATTGAGCCATCAAGATTTCAGGAAAGCCACGTTAAGCAAGGAATAAGCAACTCCGTGGCAAACCTCAATATTGCGATTGTTCTCCTGTCCGCGATTTTCTGGTGTAGGTAATAAATTGGGTAGCCTGTAATTTTCACGGCGATACGTGGTAAAAGGCTGAAGCCCATTTCTGTTAACACTCACATGCAGTCATCACGGCCAGGCGACAACTGTACAGTATCCGTGTTAAGCGTGCCTTCCACTCCTAAATTGAACTGTTGAGCAAAACCGGTTATAGTCACCAAAGCTATAAGGAAGCTCATGCAATTACCGGCACACGCATTAGGCACAATTCAAAAGAATATGCGCCTACACTTTGTGGAAGAAGGCTCGACAAAACGACAATCCTGGTGGAATGATCATGAAGAAATGAAGGGAAAAGAAAATAACAATGGGTGAGCGACGTCACATACAGCCAGTCAGTCAACACACATCTTAACTGTTGTGCGAAGTCGCTAAGTCGCTCGTTACGCGTTCACACTCGGCTCCGAGACATTTCGGAGCAGGGTGAATATTGCTTGAGGATTCCTCAACGGCACGTCGAGGATTTTCGCCTGATCCTTTACGTTCTCGCGCGCGGATATTCACTCTCGCCACCCGCGAGCCGTCTGTGCTCTCCGCGCGTACATTCACTCTCGGCACTACTCTCGCACAGTAGAGAGCGATGGTCGAGGAATTCCTCGTTGGTATTCCTAGTGACTCGGGCTACTTGCCAACAACTTTGCTATGGATGCCTTCACTGCGGAACCCAATCCCCCATCTACGGTAAACCCGCTAGAAGGATCGCGCGCAACGCACAAAGTGTCCG